GTATTATATTTGCAGGAACAAAATAGACCAAAGGTTATTTTGGATCCTTTACCAATATAGTTGCCTGTAAATAATGTAAAGTGCAGCCATTTAATTTACAAAATCATTTTAAAAGGCTAAATGCTCAATAAATTCTGCTTTATCTAGTTCAGACAGCCTCAGCGGCTATTTGTAACTTAAATATAAAAATATATAAATTCAGGCATTTGTACTAGTATGCACATCTCTGTCTTTGGAACTAAATTTCAAAGTTTGTTGAGACAGTATTAGAATCCTCATTAGAATCTCAGAGGAATATCTTTAGCACTCTTTCCTGCCTTGTTTGGAAGGAGTGAATTTGCTCTATAATGGACCTTTCTAGAGAAAGAAAATGCTCCATTTTCATGCCTATGCCCGCTCCCAGGAAACTAGACACACACACACACACACACACACACACACACACACACACACACACACTTCCCTCCTCTCCTACCACTGTCATTCCTTGCCTATATCAATCATTTTCAACTAAAGTGAGAAAAAAGAAGAGGCCTCAGAAGAATAAACCATTTGGAAATGCCTTCTATAATACTAAAAATACAGAATGCAGTGTCTGAGATAAACTGAACCCATTATAGGAGAATCTTTTGACACAATTTTGTTTAGTACTGTGAAAAATGTGGTATACAGGCTGAAAATCCCTAAACTGAAAATCCGAAATGCTCGAAAAACTTTTTGAGTGCTGACATTTCACCACAGGTGGAAAATTCCACACCTAACTTCATGTGACAGTTAGCAGTTAAAACACAGTCAAAACTTTGTTTCATGCACAAAATTATTTAAAATATTGTGTAACATTATATTCATTTATGTGTATAAGGTATATATGAAATATAAATGAACTTTGTGCTTGGACTTGGAGCCCATCCCCAAGATTGCTCATTATGTATATGCAAATATTCCAAAATCCAAAACTCAAAATCCAAACCATTTGTGATTCCAAGCATTTCAGATAATGAATATTCAAACTGTATGATCTTCTCCACTTACTATAGCAAATTTCACCTGACCACACTAGATGCTCCCTGAATACAGACTCCAGGTGTTCCCTGGCTTGACTTAACAATGATTTAACTTAACAATGATTCAACTTATGATTTTCTAACTTTTCCACGGTGTAAAAAGGAATATATATTCAGTAGGAACCATACTTCAAATTTTGTACTTTGATCTTTTCCAGGGCTAGCAATATATGGAACTCTGGTGATGCTAGGAAGTGGTAGTGAGCCACAGGTCCAAGTCAACCAAGAGATCACATGAGAACAACCAATACTGTACCCTCTACTACTATACTCAATAAGTATACTGTATTCAATAAGTGGCACAAGATAGTCAGCACTTTATTATAAAATAGGCTTTGCCCAACTTCAGGTTAATATAAGTGTTCTGAGCAAGTTTAAGTTAGTCTAGGCTAAGCTATGATATTCATTAAACATATTATAAATGAATTTTTGACTTATGATATTTTCAACTTAGGATGGGCTTATTGGGACATGTGCCAACATAAGTCAAGGAGCATCTGTGTTTCCAATTAAATGACTCAAATGAGACAAAGTCTTATTCACAAAAAGTTATTCCACCCCTTTCACCGGATTATATTTACAATTTCTCTGATAGCCCATATAGACTGAAAATCTTATGATAACTTGTACTGAATTTTAATAAAGCTTTCTAATTTATATCCGTGGGAACTCAATATAGCACAGAAATTAGAAATCACTCTGGAATTAGAGAGACTAGATTCATATCCTGGTTTCTACGACTCACTAGCTTTCTGACTTGAGCAAGTTATATAACCTATGTCTCATTTTTATTTCTTGAAACAAAAATAAAAGCACCTTATAGGGATACTGTAGTAATTAAATGAATAATCATGAAGTGTTTAGCAATCAAGAAATGTTATATATTTAATTAATTGGGTCCTAAGACTCTCTGACTATCTAGCAGGTATCTATAAGTATCACTAAAATAAAAAAGGAACTTTCAGTCTTGTTATGAAGACAAGATATGCATCTAATGAAAAAGATTACTGAGTGCTCATTACACAGGTCAAACAAGTATATGATGGGGTATTATTAGAGAGTCACCACAAATCTTCTATCTTAGACAAATAGTTTCTAATAATGATCAGGAAACTGATAAAGTTTCATGTGGATGCTACACTTAGGAATTTCATGATGGATTATAAAATTAAGAAAACTGTTAAAGGAAAAGCATATAGAAAGGTTATCCTAAATATGAATGCATTAGGTATCTAATAAGTTTATCATGAAAGTAATAATGTAGGTATTATATGTGTTTAGTTGATTTTTTAAGTTACCAGTAAAACTTTATAATCTTAATTGTATTGATTTCTTCATTATGGAAAATATGCCTCCAAATAGTCATCTCTATAAATGATATTAAAGTCACAATTTACTGAGCACCTACTATGTGGCAGTCACTGCTCTAAGTCTCTGTACATGTATTAATATGTATTATTAACTCATTGACTCAGACAACAACACCATGATATAGGACTTGATATTATCCTCATTTTATTAGTAAGAAAATGGAAAGTTACATAAATAACTTTCCCAGGGTCACACAGTCATCAAGTGCCACACCTGGAGTAGAAACCCAGGCATTAGGGCTTTAGAACCCTTATCTTTTTTTTTTTTTTTTAAATTGAGTTGGAGTTTCACTCTGTCGCCCAGACTGGAGTGCAGTAGCACGCTCCCAGCCACCGCAGCCTCAACCTGCTGGGCTCCAGCGATCCTTCCGCCTCAGCCCTTCAAGTAGCTGGAACTACAGGCGCACGCTACCACGCCTGGCTAGTTTTTGATTTATTGTAGAGATGAGGTCTCGCCAATTTGTCCAGGCAGGTCTCAAACCCGCCGGCTCAGGCAATCCACTCACCTCGGCCTCCCAAAGTGCTGGGATTACAGGCTGAGCCACCGCGTCCAGCCTTGGAACCCTTTTCCTTAAACACTACATTATGCTGCCTCTCATTAAGCAACTCCATGACTAGCTGTCATCACCAATGATCTTTAACATCATATTTGAATATCTCATACATAACTCAAACTCAACATGTTCAAAATTAAGTTTCTGATTTTCCTCCCAAAATCATCTTCAACCACAATCCCCATTCATATAGTTGATGAAAACTTCATCCATCCAGTTGCTCAAGTGAAAAGAAAACACACCTTGTAATTGGTTGTAATAAACACATAGATGTCCAGCCCGTATGCCCCTTTCAGGTAGAACCTGCAATTCAGCTGTGGGGAGTGAGGCCCGCAGACATCCCTTAGTCATCAATTATTGCTAGATAGATCTGCCTCAGCTGCACAGAGTTATCTCTCACTCCCTTCCCAGGGCAGGATGATCTGCATTCAATGACTGAAAGAGGCATAAAGGCATGGCCATTTTTGCCTAACAAGGTACAGTCTGGAGGGCAATGCTCTCTCCAGAGTTTGTGTTGATTGATGCTTTGTGGTTCTGGCTTTCTGGTAGACTTCTTCTTCTGTCCAGTCATGTTTCCTCCTTTTTCCCTTCCTAGAGGCAACACTGTGTTTTCTTTTTTTTCTTTTCTTTTTTTTTTTTTTTGGAGTTGGAGTCTCACTCTGTCGCCCAGACCGAAGTGCAGTGGCCGCTCCCGGCCACCGCAGCCTCGACCTGCTGAACTCCAGCGATCCTTCCGCCTCAGCCTTCCGAGTAGCCGGAATTACAGGCATGCGCTACCATACCAGGCTACTTTTTTATTCATTGTAGAGATGAGGTCTCGCCAAGTTGCCCAGGCGGGTCTCGAACCAGCGGGCTCAGGCAATCCACTCACCTCAGCCTCCCAAGGCGTGGGATTACAGGCTGAACCACCGAACCCGGCTCAGTCTATATTCTACACCCAACCAACATAGTTCTTTTCGGACACAAGTGTCAGCATGTCTCACCTTTGCTTAAAAGCTTACAATGAATTCCCATTTAACTGGTGAAAAAGCCAGAGTCCTTAAGGCCTACACAGCCTTCCATAATCTGGGGCCATTGGGTCTCTAACCTTAGCTTTTTCTCCTCATCCCCTTGTTCTCTCCATCCAGGCACGCTGGCTTCTATGCCATCACTTAAGCACGAGAAACATGCATTTAAGCCTTTGCTCTATTTCTCCATCTGCCCAATTCTCTAACCTCCTTCAAACCTTTGATAATTCTCACCTTTTCAATGTAATATACTATACAACTCAGTTATCTACAGTGTTTATTGTTCTCGTTTTTTGAGTTTTTTGTTGTTGTTGTTTTTGGTTTTTTGGCCTATATTGTCCTGCTAGAATGTGAGACCTTGTAAAAGGCAGTGATGAAATATATCCCAAACACAGTGTACAGTAATACCAATAATAAGTATAATAAGTATTTGTGGCCTGGTTCAGTGGCTCAGCTTGTAATCCCAGCACTTTGAGAGCCCAGGGGTTTGAGAGTAGCCCAGACAACTTGGCGAAACCTCATCTCTACAATAAATCAAAAATTAGTCGGGCATGGTTGTGCACACCTGTAGTTCCAACTACTTGGAAGGCTATGGCAGAAGGATCTCTGGAGCCCAGCAGGTCAACACTGGGGTGGCTATGACCATGCTACTGCACTCTAACCTGGGTGACAGAGTGAGACTCCAACTCAAAAAAAGAAAAAAAAGTATTTGTGGAGTGAATAAATCCTATGCATCATAAGTTGATCTACGTAAAATAACCATTTCAATCTAATTAACAATGAATCAAATTCATTGGTTTCCCTGGTAGAAATGTAAAGGAATCAGAAGTCTACAGGAGAATATTTTTCTGCTAATCAATTCATGGGAAGACACAAGACACAAGAAAATATAGACTGGATAACTGAAATTTTTTTGCACATACTCTGAACTCCAACACGTGGATCTTCCTTTGTTTATTTTTGTATAGGAACATCAAATCACATTTTGTCTTTCTCTTGACTTACCTCTAGCTCATCAAGGGCACTTCCCAGGGTTGCTCCCTGAGGTTCTGGTGGGACTGGCATATTCTGGATGCCTTGTGAAGCATTTGAAATTACATTGAGGGCATTCTGAATTTCTTCGCAAACTGTGTCCTTGCTAGCTTTAAGGGAAGCAACATCAGAATGCTCCAAACAAGCTGAACAAATTGAATGCAAGAGCGGAGAGTTCTCCTTCAATGAGGCCCGGGCTCCTGCAATTTCATCCCTCTGATTTGGAGATTTTAAATCCTGGGAAGTGAAATAAAAAGAATGGTTTCTTAAAATGGGTTATTGGAGAAAGACTTATACAAAACAGCCTCATTTTTCAGTCAATATAAATGAAAAGATAATAGACTAAGTCAGTAATAAATTAAAATCAAGGGCATGCATTATTTCTAGATTCCTTCAGATTCTATTAAAAGTTCTACAATAGGAAAGGTGAGACAGTTCACAAGTAACGGTCATAATTGCGCGGTAATGTAGATCTTACATTTGTCAGTCATATCCTGATAAGTCACTAAAATACTGTGGCATTCACATTATTAAGTGCATTATAATAGAGCTTGAATTACAAGATGCTAATTACCTTTTTCCATAGATGTTAATAATTCCTTTAACCTTTTCATTAAGACTAAATCAATTGAGATAAGAACATTAAATTAAACCTCTCACCATTTAGTTATTTTTTCTGTTCTTTTTTAGAAATACTAATAAATTAATCCTGTATCAATATTTCCTTGAATTATTCAACAAATAGTTACCAAGCACATCACATATGCTGGCCTTGTTCTAGGCTCTTGGTGTACAAATATGAACAGTCCTACAAGGACCTTATTCTTCTGAAGCATATATATGTTCTTTTTTCAGAGGAGGGGTCTACAGCCAAAGAGTAAACTAGGTAAGCAAATATACAAGACAATTTCAGGTAATGGGAATTGCTATGAAGAAAACACAAAAGTGAAATGTTATCGAGACTGACGAGAGCAAAAAGCTGCTTTAGTTTGAGCTGGTCAGAGAAGGTATTTCTGTAGATCTAAGTGAACATCATTAAAGTGTAAATCTAAGTGAACATCATTACAATCAGAGGGAAGAGTAGGAAGAGAAAGTCTTATCTTCATGATAGGCTTTAATTATTAGTAATAGTGACAGGTGACCAAAACTAGCTCAAAACAAAATGAAAAAACCTGGCAATACCTTAACCAATTGATGAAGATTAACATCATCAGTGATGTCACTTGGATATCATGTACTCCTTGATATACCATGACAAAAAAAGAACACAACGTTTGTAGTATTCTCTTCAGAAACTTGTAACCACAGTTTAATCACAAGGAAAAACTACAAACAAAACCAGATGGGGAAGATCCTATATTACACCTGGACAGTATTTCTCAAGATGAGTAAGGTCATGAAAAACAGGAGATTGATAAACTGTCACAGACCAGAGGAGAAGGGGGAGACATAACTAATTGCAATGTGCTACCCTGGATTAGATCCTGGAAAGAAAAAAAATTCATGAAAAACCGGTAAAATATAAATAAAGCCTAATAGCAATGCATCAATGTTTGTTTCTTTGTTGAGACAAATGATGAGATACAGTATTAACAATAGAGAAAATTGGGAGAAAGTATATGAAAACTCTCTGTACCATCTTTGAACCTTTCTTAAATCTAGAATTATCCCCAAATAAAAAGTTTATTTTTTAAAAAGCTAGCTAAAGGGATATTTTCAACAATGTATGCATGTCATATATAATATCTCAGATAAGCTTCATCAAAAACTCATGATAGATGTGATTATTCCCATTTTAAAAATGAGAAAACTGAGGTTCCAAGAGACTAAGTTCCTTAGCCAAGTGGCAGAGCTGAATGGTGGCATTTCATGTATTGTAACACAAGTGAGAAAACTGAGGTTTCAAGAGACTAAGTTTCTTAGCCAAGTGGCAGAGCTGAATGGTGGCATTTCTAGTATTGTAACACAAGTCAGTGTAACTACCAAATCCTGATCCTAGCAACTATGTTATATTCATTTCAACATAAAAACTATTTCCCTTGTTTGCTATACAAGAACAATGACTTGTATTTGCGTAATATCATGTCACTTATAAAGTGCTTCTATACATTATTTTATTGATCATCACAACACCCTTTGTATTATTGGCCCTATTTTAACAAATAGGTATTGAATGTAAGAAGATTAAGAGACTGGTAAAAGAACTGAGATGTAAACCTAAGTCATTTGATTGTAAGCCCCATGCTTTTCTCACAAGACTCTGCTACCGTGGGATAGTGTTGCCTGAGGTTAATAAATGGCTTGTGCTACTATTTTTAAAATTTCTTCACTTCTGAAAATAAAGGCTGTCTGCTACTGTCTGCAGACATAGGAGAGATTAACTTCTTTATAAAATGTAGGGAGGACAGTTAAAAGTAGCTGTCAACCCACTGTTCGTACCAATGACCCAAGAAACACACTTTGTGGTTTTCTAGGCTTGCTACGATTTCCCCCTTTTATTTGTGGTCTGGCTTCTAGTTTCAGTTCTGTCATTAGCACTACAAACTGGGTAAATCATCTACTCTTTCGTGTCTTTCCTTCAGTACAAATGGAGTTAATGATACTCTACTAACCCTCTCACAAAATTGAATACACAGCATATCAGAAGTAGAACATATGTGGAAAACAGGAAAAACATATAAATAATATGAAATTATTTTATTCCTTAAATTTGCCAAACTTGGTATATTCTTTTTGTACTGTGATGATCTTAGTGATTTTCATATTCCACACAATGTTATAGCCATACCTACATTCTTCAGTGTAACTTAGAGGATAGCTTAATGTTTAGAAAGGATGCACAAATCCTCAGAAGAATGATAATAAAAAAATAAACATATTTAGAAAGAGCTGAAGAAAATTATAATAGTAGAGTATAATCACAACTTATTACATAATTCTCTCTGAAGTGACTGTATTTATTTATTTAGAATGGCAGTGTGAAGTTCATGTAGTTTCTGAAAGGACAAAAATCTTTGAACATAAGTTATTACAAAGACAGCTGAAGTTAAACATTATGTATTTTACTCTGATGATGGCTATTTGTAATCTCAATGTAAACTGCGGTAACTTTAATGCTGTAGGGGTTTTAAATTTTAAAAATACAAATAGATTGGGTTTTTGAACCTATGCTTTGTCATCTCCGCTCAAAGCAATTACAGAATCCTTAATGAGCACTGATACCTCAAATAGTAAGCTTGTGAAGCTTGCATAAGGACTGGATCAGTGAACATAACAAAAATAATATAGCAGTAGATAAAGGAAAGAGGGGCAGGAAAGAGAAGTTAAGAAGGAAAGACCGTTTATCCCAAAGGACATCATACATGATAAATTTAATGTAGTAACTAAGCAAAGATAATAATGGAACCAATGACCACCATCTCCCAAACAAAAGGTTTTTGCAGTAGTGTTAGTGGTTGTTTTATTTTGTTTTAACTGATGATAGCAAGGGTCCAAAGGTCCATAGGTTGTCTATTTATGCTAAAATTTTAAACAAGATCAAAACAGGAATTAAATGGTAAGGTCAATTAGGAATTTCTTTGGATAGAAAAGTGTAAAGAATTTAGCTCCTCAAGGATCGAAACTTCTTTTTTAAATGCTTCAAGAAAGAGCTCACATGAAATTTCCAAGTTAAGAAAACATTAAATGCTTCCAGCTGATGAAGAAATACACAGATGGGATTTAAAAAGGAGACCTTACAAGTCTGTGCAAGTGGGTAGAGAAGTGACATATGAATTTTAACCCTGGCAAAAGAACAAAACATATTTAGGAATTTTAAAGATCACAAAAAATAAAAATGAAGGGCTCAAAGCTATCAGTTAATTAATTTAACCATTCATTCAGCAAATATTGTTGAACCTCTACTATACATCAGACAGTGTGCTATATGTTAGGAACGCAAAGAAAAGAAAAGGAGGCAAATATATTTATATAGGAACTAAAATAGAGGAAAGTCCCTCAGTTGGAGGGGATTAAAGTAATATCAGACAAGGTGAATCTTTTTTCCAGATTTATTGAGGTATAATGGACAAATACAAATTGCATATATTCAAAATGTACAACATGATGCTTTTATATCTATATAGTGTAATGATTACTACTATAAAGTTAATCAATACATCTATCACCACATAGTTACCGTGTGTGTGTGTGTGTGTGTGTGTGTGTGTGTGTGTGTGTGTGTATTATGAGGGCAATTAAGATCTACTCTCTCAGCAAATACCGTAAGCAATACAGTATTATTAACTATTATCACTGTGCTGTATATTAGCTCCCCAAAATTTATTCATGTTATAATTAAAAGTTTATACCCTTTGATCAACATCTCCCCATTTCCTTCACACTCCGACCCTGGCAACCACCACAAAACTCTCTGCCTCTATGAGTTTTTTAGATTCTACAAATAAATGAGATTATACAATATATGTCTTTCTGTGCCTGATTTATTTTACTTAGCATAATGTCTTTCAGGTTCATCCAAGTTGTCATAATGATAGGGTTTCAGAGGAAGGGAATCTTACACAGTGAGTAGAAGTTATCCCTGTGAGCAATGCAGAACAAAACAACAAGCAAAAAAAAAAAAAAATGTGCAGAGACCTGAAGCATAAAAAGGCAAGGAGCATTCAGGTGATATTACAAATACAGAAGACTTAAAAAGGAAGGGTGACAAATACAGCAAGAAAAGTAGGAAAGAGACATCTTACATGATATGCTAAGGAATTCTGAAAGCAACAAGCTCAGATGTGTATTTTCAAATATTGCTCTGGCAATAGCCTTTTGAGCAGGTTAGAGAGAATGAAATTACAGTCATGGAGACCAGGCAACAATCCAGGTTCAAGTAAGAGACAATGAGTACCTGCATAGTCTTGCTAGGCTATAGCAGGGTGGATCCAGGAAATATTTATGAGGTAAGACTTTGGCATATTTGGATGAAAAAGAGGAGGAAAAGGTATTTAGAAGCACCTAGAGAATTGTTTCAGCAATTGTGTACATAGCGATGCATTAACCAAAATGGGAACACAGAGAGAGGAATGTATTTGAATGAAAAAAGGTTAATTACATTTTATCATCTGCCAAATATATGATACCAGCAAAAGAATCAAATGAAAATACACTACACATGAATCTAGAGTTAAGAGGAAAGCCTTGGCCAGAAATAGAGATAGGTGAATTACCAGCTCATAGTTGAGAGCTAAAGT